TTGTTTGTATTATTGAAGTTTTTTTAATTATTTTTTATTACACATTTATCACATAAAAAAGGTGTTACGATAGTATAGGGAATGAAGCAGTTAGCGACATGGGAGGCATTTTAGTGCATTTATTGGTTTGTTTTCAATAAGTGGTGGTTGATTTTGCGGGGTTTGGGGGGTCTACATGTACCAAAATATATTTATATAGGGATTACTTCATTAACTATGTGTGCTAATAACAATTTTATTGGTGCGTAATTTTCATTTGATTACAACACAATTGTATTAAATTCTATTGATGCTACTTCTATATTAACTATTGTATTTTTTTGTTAACAATTCTCATACAATGTATCACTTACTACACATAAAATAAATACAAAAACTATTTATTTTTTATTTAATATATATATTTTTTATAGATCAAAGAAATGAAAATATTGCCTCTCTTCAAGTTCGACAGCCATTCGCATCACCAATACTTTTGCGTGATCATGGTAAATATGCAGTTTTTTATATCATCAAAGATCATGCATTTTCATTTGTAGTACGCACTCCACAAAATTCAACATAGTTAATTAAATCCTCAATTTTGATTTTCGTACTAAAAGTGGATTGGTGTGAATAGTGTTCGCACATTCAAGAAAGATTATTAAATCGAATGCTTAGTATTTGTAAGTATTTCATTTAACAACATTCAATTACATTCATTTGTAGAAATATATCATTTCCTTTTTTAATATAAATTTAAATTTTTTTTTCAGGATCCATCTTTCGAAAAAAGATAGTTCTTGAATAATATACACATTCTATTATATTTCAAACTATTGTTAAACAGATATGACATTTAAATTTTGTTGGTTCAATTTTTTCACCTTTATTTATTCACCATTTTTTTTTAATAATGTCAGCACCGTGCGTAGCACGGGTATTCACACTAGTATATTTTAATGCACGTTCATAGGACACTCGAATTGGAAAATGACGGCCAAGTGAGTCAGGTAGGCAAAAATGATCGCATTCGTCCTACGCGTGTCACGATTTGGCCACACGTAGTTATCATATTCGGAGAAGTATAAGCGGTAAACCAGACTAAAAAGCCGCCACGAAAAAATCGTCTCCAAGATGTGGGCGCAAAGGGAACAAGGTACGCCCTAGCCAACCTGGAAAGATTACAATATTCTATGGAAACTACTTGAAAGAGATGTGTAATAATTTATGGCATCATCATTATATTATTGCCTTCTGTTCATACAGTCTAGTGGTAATGCTGACAAAGAACCCAGGAATCTAGCTCTTCTGATCCCATTTCCTTCATGACTACAACCGAAGAAGAAGAAATCAAGAAAGCCAGGAAAACAGGGCTTCAGACATGAACGCAAAAGTGGGGCTGATGGGGCCAACCTCCGCTAAGAACCAGGAGCAAATTTCCTTCAACTTTTCTTCAATTCGGTTACAGCAAGGACCCTATTTTTAACCGATTCTGCAGTCTCAACACGTGTATAGTCCATGCTTATGGCGTTCTCTGACAAATTTATAATGGATAACTAACACACCTCAGAGATGGTACTATGGTACGATACTACTAGCTCTGTGCAGTAGGGTATGGCTGCTGCTGCTGCCGCTTCTGCTCGAGGTTTCCACAGAAATCTTGGGGCTTATATGTCCAGGGATTGAAGAGAAATTTACTCCCTTTTCCTTGTAAGTCTCAAATTTACTTTTCGCTTGCTGATTGCTCAATTATTAATTTCTCTAGGCTACTGTCTGTCTCTCAACAACCCCTGCTGCACTCCTTTATGTTTCTCAAATGCTCTGTTAGGTATATGTATTGCAGTGTTCATGTTACTATGTTTGGCAATCTTATGTTCATGTTTAGCTTGCAGTTGGAAATTCTGTTTGTATGACTCTATCGTTGATTTGTTTTGGTATTCGGTTTTGTGTATCTTCAAGCTCATTCTTAACTATTCTTGCGCTTGGAAATTCTTTGACAAAATCAATTTGTGTACGTATGCCTAATTTTGGCAAGTAGATTCCAGCTTATACTCAATTCTTGGCTTTCAGAAAAGAGGCAAAATCATACTGTTGAGTAATGGACGGAAAAGGGATATCAGGATCCATTATGGTTTTTTCTGAAGAGAAAAATGAGAGCTTGTATCCTAAGTTTTTTGGCGTCTCCTGTGCGTTTTTTGCCCTTAGAATCTTGTCGGAGCCTAAATTGTCCCCGAACAATGGTCAGACATTAAAAATGGAATGCTTCAAGGAAGTGCTTACCTTCTGGGATTGCTTGTTTGGAGGGCTCAGAAGGACGAAGCCGGGAATGATAAATCAGAGCTTCGCCAGAAGCTTGAGAATGCACAGGGAGAGATTGAAGAGTTGAAAAATAGAAGACGTGAGGATGCAAAGGCAAATGAGAAAGTAGTAGGCATCTTTGCTGCACAGGAACAAGGCTGGTTCAATGAGAGGAAGAAGCTTAGACAACAAATTGGGTGTCTTATGAACGAATTAAGAATTTCTGAAACTAATAAGGATAAAGCTCTTTCTGATTTGAAGGGAAAGCTGCAGGACAATGAACTGCTATTGAAGTCTAAGGATAAGATTCTCAAGGAAGAAGAGCAGAAGAGGCAGGATCTTGAAGAAAAACTGAAGAATGCTGAGAGTACTATAGCAGAATTCAGAGAAGCTGCAAAGCAGGAAAATCAACGGCACTCCAATGAGATTTCAAAACACAAGACTGCCTGCATTGAGCTTGTCTCAAACCAGAGACAGCTTGAAGCAGAGATGGGTCGGGCTCTTAGGCAAATTGAATCATTGAAACAGGACCGTGATATAATTCTGGAGCAAAAGGAGCAGTCACTGTTGATGACTCAAAAGCTATCCCTCGAGCTTGTCAAAATGCGAAGGGATATGGAACAGAAAGACCAAATTCTGTCCGCCATGCTAAGAAAATCTAAATTGGATACAACAGAGAAACAAATGCTTTTAGAGGAAGTAACATTGTCAAAGGCAAAAAGAAAGCAGGCTGAGCTAAAAACAGAGAGGTTAAAGACAGATTCTGAGCCTAGGCGTGACAGGTATTCCCTAAGAAGTATGCTTTCTAAACATGCAAATACAAAGGCAGATGCTGTTTCTGGAAGAAAAGGGGTTCATTCAAACGCAATGATGGCATCAAACATGGAAAGGCCTACAACACACCAAATGAATTATCTTGTTGAGTATGAGCAACCTGGATTCAGGGAAGGAATAGAAGCTTTTTCACCTCTGTCGGATCGCTACTTATCTGAGGGAATTCAAGATACAAGTAAGACTAAGTTCTTGATGTGCTTTTCTATACTTTGAGTAATACACTTACACATAGACTAGAAAAGAAAATTGTTTACTCCTACAAATATATGATTATCATCTTTCCAGTTCATTTTACCCGACTATGATTTATATGATTTCAGCTGACTTTCACCAGTTGGAGGGTTGGGTTCGATCTCAAGCTGAGAAGTATAGAACTGCTATTGATCAGACGCATCAACTTGAGATAGATGCTTTTGCAGAACAACTTAGAGTCAAAGATGAGAAGTTAGAAGCTTTTCGCTGGCGTTTATTGAGTATGGAACTTGAGTCAAAGAGGCTGCAATCCATTATTGAGGGCTTGATAATGACTTATCACAACTCAAACAAGCTAATATGAAGTTGGAAGCTGTACTGTTGAACCGAGAAGCAGAATTACAATCCCTGAAGGAGAAGTTGGCATTGCGGATGGAAAATCATCCTAACAGCCAAAGGATCTCCTCAAATGCTTATCCGCATGATCTTACATTAGCCTATGATACCATTTGGTCAAAAGTGAAGATAGTAAAGAGAAGACCAGGGGAGGATGAGCAGGAGTCAAAGACAACCGCAGAGAGAAATTACCAACTGGCAGAAGAAGAGAAGCAAGAGAAATCTTCTGCTAATTACCCGAGCAAAGATATAGTTTTGACACTCCAACCTCCACGAGTGGAACTTGAAGAAGAGTTAGGTGATGCAATTGATCAAGATTCCATTCAAGAGCAATCTTCTAGTTCACAAGATGCTGAAAAAGCTGAAGCATCGCAATCAGCAGTCAAGTGCATAACAAACAAGATTAATTCTTCATGGAAAATGGATCTTCATGCTCTTGGAGTCTCATACAAGATCAAAAGGCTGAAGCAGCAGTTGCTCATGCTTGAGAGATTGACTGGAAAGCGAGAGTGTCATGAAAGCAGTGATAGCAGTAACAATGGACAAATTGACAAAAATGTTTTTTGTGCTCTAATGTCCTTGCTCAACAAACAGGTTGGTCGGTACCAATCCCTCCAGGGGAAGACTGATGATCTATGCCAGCGAATGGTACATTTCTATTTCATTATGCTAATTTTACAGTTTGGGGTTAATTTTCTTCATCAAATGCAAGGACCAAAACCATTTCACTATCTTGTAAGGTCTTTATCTTGTAAATTCACAAAATATTGGGCTTTCTCTGGATAACAATTAGATGGAGGCCCTTTGATGATGTATAGAAAAAGTGATCACAGTTGGACGCTTGACACCATAGTTCTACTTATCATTTTCGCATGTGTTGTGCAGCATGAAAACAGCTTATATGTGAGAGGTGGAGATCTGAATACTGCAAAAACAAAGGAGGAAATTCGATTGCTCGAGCAATATCTTGAAGAGACATTTCACCTCCAGAGATATATGGTTGCTACAGGACAGAAGTTGATGGAATTACAAGCGCAAGATTGCTTCTGGATTTGTTAGTGCAGTTGAAGAGTTCGAGACACCTGCTAGCTTTGACATGAAGAGGTTTGCTGATAATATCAAAACACTCTTCCGAGAAGTCCAAAGAGGTCTTGAAATTAGGATATCTCGAATTATTGGAGATCTAGAAGGCACTCTTGCTTGTGATGGTATCATACACTTTAAAAAGTAGTGAAGGAGAGTTTTAGGAAAGTTCTTAAAGTTTTTTCTTACTTCTTTCTTTTTTAGTGTCTTTTTTCCGAATTTAGTACTGCTGAGCAAATCTGTACAGAAATCACTACGTGAAATACAAATTTCTTGGTATTGTATCTCCTCTACCCCATTGAGCCAAATTATAAGTTGAACCCAGCTAGCACTCTATGAGAAAGCCACTGAAAAGCAAGTACCAACAACAAAACTCTTGCAGTTAGTGATTGAGAATTTCCCACTTTGCACGCTGGTCGCCTCAATATATTTCTCGTCAGGAGCAGCATTTGCGGAATCTAGGGAAGTGTTTGCAGCCATTTTTTGTCTGATTCTGTAATCTTATTTGGTTAACAACACTGGTGCATGTAAATTTGTTGAGGCATGGTCTTTTCTGCTTTCACTTTGCTGACTGTTGTTTTTTCAGGCCTGGTCTTCCTTTCTACCAACCCATGGAAGAAAGTTCTGTTGCAGTGAAAGGGGAGAAGCAACCTTCCATGTAATACGGACAACTGCAGGTGACGACATTGTCTCCATGGTAGCCAAGTTGAACAAATTCACTCCGTTACATACTTCCTTTCGATCTTTAGTGCAAGATCAGGCTGGTCATGTCTGCTGATTATATTGATTTGGATATGAAGCCGTACGATATAATCTGAATCAGGTACTTAGTCAAATGATTGTTTTTTTTTTTTTTTCTGGGTGGAAATTTTACTGCTAAAAGTCATGGCACAAAGAGTCATGGTCAGCAAGAGGATCTCCCCCTTTGGTACTGCTTAATAATAAAAGGAGAGGTATGGAGATGAGATGCAAGATTGATTGTGTGATTGCATTAACTGGGATGGGATCATTCATTCTTGGGACTTACATCACATGCTGGTGGATCGTGTGTCCTTTTTTCTCGGGGTATGTCTGGAGTCTTAGTGTATTCAAAGTGTTATCGAGCATGGAGCTAGGCTCCAGCAAGTTGAAAATTCAACAAGGTACTGGAGTGATACACTGTAGTTTGTTATTGTTGTTAAACCATGTAGGGTGGCAATGATTAGGGAGGATGAGGAATGGTTGCTGCCCAGTGCATAAATGGAAGCCAGTGGGCAGCTTCATCCGAGGGCTCAAAGCAAACAGTAGTTTGATTCTGATGGATGGAAAAACAACAAAAACTCTCGTTTCTTCTGTCACTTTGAATGGATATCTGAGCTCTTGTCATGTTCCCTCTTCAAAACAGAGACTTGTATTAACGTGATGATTGTAGCACTTCCACTTTCAATCCCTCTGCCCCGTCGTCAGATTGAATGAATTAATAACACACATACTCCGCAGCGGAATCGGTGGTGAATTTGTCGAGGCATGCAGTTTAATTTCTTACTACTATTGTATAATCGCAACAATACAATGAGGAATCATATCGTTGTACCAAAAACATCATAAATTGTGTTGTCGTAGGAATTGGTTTATCAGCGGTCTCTGGTCCTGTCTTGGACCGAGTCCTCCTGCAGTTGGGTTTTTTTTTTTTTTTTTTTTCCAAATTTTTGGAATAAAGCAATCAGCAGCGTCAACCCACGCATAGGCACGGGTAGTTGTAAATGATGCAAATCACAGGCCTTCACACATCCCACACATGCAAAAGAAGCCAGAAATCAATCAATGCCGGCCAAATTGTCATGCGTCGGCAACCCTCGTTTGGATGTCTCAAGCAACAAACAATAATAGTCTGTGACCGTTGCATTGCTACAGCGGAGTGCGGCTGCTGACTAATTCAAGACCGTCTGTATGATAGTCTGGTTTGTCAATTCACCGGCTCCTCTTGCATTCAGTCAATTTGGCTTTTAATTGGAAACTTTTCCGCCCGTTTCTTTCATTGAAAATAAATAACTCGTGAATAAGAAGCGCCTGGAGCGTTTTAGACCTGCCCGCTTCCCAGCTAAATCTCTCTCTCTCTCTCCCTCCCTCACATTCCACATTTCAGTTTTCAGGCACCCGCTCCCCCTCCCCGCCAATCTGAATGCATAAGAAGGTCAAGAAATTTAGAGAGACGATCGAGGAGGAGGAATCCAGTAAAACATTTGCTGCAGATAGATGATCAGTTTGGATTTGGAGACCGAAAATGAAGCAGCAAGTCCAACCAGTACTCCAAAGCTTTCCTTGTATAAACTCCCAAGCAAGCAAAGACAGCCGCCACCAGTGATGTTCACTCCACCCGTCACTACTTCAGCAGCATCGATTCCATTCCAATGGGAGGAGGTGCCGGGGAAGCTCAGACCCGATTTCAGACCCACGTCTTCCCCGGCCGCCGCCGCCGTTAAAGACAAGAAGAATTCTTCTGTAGCCAGATGTTTAGACCTCCCGCCCCGGCTGTTGAATAACAAGAATAATACTAGTACTGCTCCTCACAGTATCATCCATCATCCTCCTAGTAAACAACTATTTCCAGTCACGAACGATTCTTCTCCCACGACGGTGCTCGACGGGCCTTATCCTCATGGCGCTGGCGGTCCATCCTTCTCTCGCAGTTCCGCATTTTCTTTGCCTAAAACTAGAGGGTCTTTCAGGAGCCTGGAGGATGAAATTTTTAGGGATGTCAATAAGTACCGACGACATCGTCATGATGCCGCCATTGATGAAGCTGTCGGGAAAAGAAAGGTGATCAATGATAAGGAGAGATTCGCCTCTTGGAAATGGGGGAGCTACAAGGAGAACAACGCTACTGCAATGATGGCAGTTTCTCCTTCTCTGCCGGAGATGATCACAGTTTTGGTTGTACTTCTTTCGCTTCAACAAGTCGTGGGACAATCAAGAGGAGAAGCAGCTTCTCGAGTTTCTCTCATGCCAGCTCCAACCTCATCGTAAGTGTCTGCATGTCAACCCTCTTCAATATGTTATATACAATCCTTTTTAGTTTCCTTGTGATCAACTGTTAACTTCCCTTCCCTGCTAGTTGATCTTTGATCTACATTTGGAAACCAAAAATTCTTGCTTCTGATTTTCTACTTTATTTTTGCTAATTGACATGAATCCCTCTCCTGTTTAATTAATATACAACGTACAAAACAAAATCTCTCCTTATTAAAACTGCACCCCCAAAAAATAAAGTAAAAAAAGAACACGTGCGTATCTTTCTATTTAAAGAGAACCCCTGTGGCTTCAGGTGTATATCTTGATGCTATTTTTCGTACGCATGCATAATAATAATTTCCCATACAAATATACGATCTTCTTTTTGTGATGTTTCAATTCAACACGGACGACGATCTTCTTTTGATTTACGTTGTGTGTATTTTTTTTACTTGTAAGTGTTAATAATTAAAGAAAACAATATTGGATCTAATTCAGTAGAATACCGCTGTAGGCCGGCATTTATGGGAGCTTCAAGCAAGTGCTCCTTGGAGACGAAGACAAGGAGGAAAAAAGAAGGATTAAACAGTCGCTGCTGAAATCAAATGTGAATCTCCGGCAGCTGGCTTCAGTACTCTGTCCACCATTAGTTTCACGTCCTCATCCGGATTTCTTGATCCTGATTTTGGGGAAAAACTAAAGATTCGTATTTTTGTTCCCATGTAATGTAGCAGGATTTTTGTATCTAGTACAATCAAACAAAATCGCATATCAAAATTGCTGACACTGTCTATCTATCATGGATGGATGCACAAACATGATATATATATATATTCGAGTACATATATGGCTGGATATATGAATTGTTCACTGAACCTGAACCTCTACATTCATCCTGTTTGTGCATCAGGAGATCAACACATCAACGATGGTATTTTTTTGTGTTTTTGGTTGGTAAGAAACGATGGCATTACTTACTGGACCTTGTGCAGTTCATATCCACCAGAATGTCCCAAGCAAGCAATGTGAATAAAAGCTAATTCGGAATATTCAATTCAAAAGACAAACTGAACCAAATCCTACATTCGAAAATCTAAAGGGAAACTGAGATCCAAAATCTAAAAGATAAATCCTACGTTCTGAAACCTAAAGGAAACTAAAAATCGTGAGTAGAGTCAAGCCATGGCGGCAGCAGCAGCAGCCATTGCCCTTCTTTTCTTGTAATTGGCTTTGAAGCATGCTTGTCTGAGTTTCTTGGTTCTTTCCGTCAGTTCCATCTCGGGAAGCACCTTTAACATTCTTTTGTGCTCTTCCAGCATTTCAATCTCACTTGTCAATCCCAACTCCTACAAGAATTCAAAAGGTTACTGTAACATTCTTTAAAACTTCAGTAATTCCGTTTGAATACTTAACTATACTACCAGTTTCCATTAATTTCAGACACTACTGTTTTCTGGGTTTGTTTTATTAGAACTTAGAAGGTGAGGAGGAGGAATTAACGAGAGGAACTTTTATTCCGTCTCTGTCTTTCTTAAAAAAAAAAAAAATTAAATTCCTTTATCCATTCAGTTCAGGATTCAGTACTAATCAGGATGGAGTACTGCATAAAGCTAGCGTGGATGGTACCTTAGCACTGTCAATCAACGACTTCAAGCTCTTGATTTTCCTGTGTGGCCAGCGCCTGATGTTGAGTTCCCTGCATCGCTTCTTCAGGACAGTGAGGCCAACCTTCAATTCCTTAGCTGCTTTTGTAATTGGAACATCAAAGTACTTTTGAATCTCATCCACCTCAAGCGCCGATGACTTGTACCTCCCACTTACCAACCCGTCGTCCGAAACCAAGGGCTCTGACGATCTCGAGCACACCGCATTTCCTCCAGATGCTTCGCCAAAAACAGTCTCACCATTCTCGAGCAGCGCTTGATCACGTATCTCTCCAGCTGCATTCAGCGGTTTAGCATCGACAACATTGACGTCTCCCTCAAAAAATGGTTCTTTGACGTCTGGCGGTGAGTGCCACCCAAAATCCCCACAAATGTCTTCAAAATCCTTGAATTCCATTCCAAGCATGGGATGCTATTAATCTTCCATTTCCAAGCATGGAGTGGTTCCTTACAGTTACATATGCCCGCTGTACATTGCCCAGGCTTTCAGGAAACGCAAGGTATGACTGTTCCCATGCTCTGCAGAAAGCAAGAAATGCATATATATATTAAGAAGATCGTGAAAAATTACGTCAACAAGTAAAAATAGCTAGCTAGATTCATAATTTTTGCGGCATCCATCCTCAGTCTTACGTACCCTGAAGGTGGTTGTTCTTCGAAATATAAAGATCCATCAGATGCAAGGAGGTTCTCCAGCTGGTATACCACGCTGAGGGCTGGGGGATTCATTCTGCGCAGGGGAGGGCTGGGGGAAAAGCTGAAGAAGCAGCTAACATGGTACGTATAAATTGTGGTGGAGAAAAATTGGAGTTCGTGCAGATGATCATGGGAGTTACAGGAGGGATATTATGGAATCAACTTAAATAAGGCATTAATGGTGAACAATTACCAATTACCAATTACCAATTACAGAAGGGGCTGCATCATGCAATGTCTCTTTAATGCTTTATAATGTTAAACACGAATGAACATACATGCCAAACTCCCAAGTACATTCCAAAAAGTGCATGTACATTACTACTAGTCTACTACACACTACATTTTAATTTCAAAAAAAAAAATAGATTTTTGACTCTGTTCAACTCTAAATTTTACAAGCCAAAAAAAAAAAAGAGAAGAAAAAAAGACGTCTAACTATGCATTCCAGCCGATCAGTAGACAGTTGATGATTGAGAAGATAAAAAGATGATTAGAATTTGTGAAATAAATTATTTTATTTGAAATCATCTCAATCCAAATAAATCCAGTATGTTCTTTGCATTTTTTTGAATAAGATGAATGGTTTTTTTTTTTATCGATAAATATCTTTGAATTTAAAAAAAAAAAAAAAGGCATCAATGTGCATGTCTTTGCATCATTGCATGGTCAAAAGTCCAACCGTGGTCCGTCCGTCTAAATTGAGGCGACGGATGATGTCCATGTAAATGTTTTCCCTTTAAAACATTCAATTCGAAAAGAATTTCCAGATTGTCAACAATAAAATCAGAAAAAAAAAAAAACACACACACACACAAGTAGAATTGGTTAAGCTGAGAATAGATGCATGAGTGGATTATCATGCATATTATCCTTACCTGATGTATGAGATTAATGCATGAATTCCAAAATTGTTGGATCATTTAAGGAGTAGGTTACACAACAATTAACGAGGCGGATGGGAGTTAAATGAGGAGGGAAATCGTGCTTATCCAGTACAACCTGGTTTTGGGCGCTTCGAATATGCATTAATTGATTAATTCCTCTAATCCGAGCCGTCATTTCTTGAAATTTGGCCATAACACGCTGCTAACTAATTATACTACCCGCAGTTAATAAGCATCGAAGTCCGGGCACCGGAATGCGGCGGCCGCTATCTGAAACCGTTGAAGGTTTTTTCCCACCCACACATCCACACTTCTGTCTTCAGAGCCAGGGCGATTGCCAAATTTTGGGAATTTTTTTTTAATATTTTAAGTGATATTCATTTTATATATGTGATTTGGTTACTAAGATCGAGATTTCAATTATTTAGAGATCTTAAATTTCAAATTTTCCTCTTTCACTTCTTATCATTTTAATCTCGCCCTTCTCCCTTCAAAAAAAAGGTTTTTTTTTTTTCTAGGGGGATGGAGGTTAATTACTGAACAAGAGAAAAAGCGAAGAACCCACTTGTAGCGTTGCCCGGAAAATGCTAAAATAAAAGCCAAGCAAAGCTAAAACGAGCGCGCCATAAACCCAATACCTGACTGGCTGTTACCGAGACGGAGAAGCCCAAATATATGGTCATAAACTTTGAGTCAGTCCTGCTGCGGCCAAATCCAGAGCAGATGTGTTTTAGAGCCCATCGGTAGACCTGGTGATTGGGCTCTGGGCCAGACGGAGAGAGCATCAAGCAGCAAGCAGCAATGGATCAAAATCAATGGGTGCAGATGTGAAATGTGAATTGAATTCCAGTAGTAGCCGTTTTAGGGCAAGAGGGTGGGACCCTTCACTTCCATCACCGCCATTTGCGGCACTGATTGAATTAAGTTACGAGTTAGTTAGTTAGCATTGTATGAGGATTGTCTCCCCAGTCACGGTAGGAGTTTGGATTTTGCGCGTCGAGTCCCACAATTTGGAAGCAGATCGGTGAAATAGTCAGACTTCACTTCACTTGCTTGAATTGTTTGTGGGTCCTCTCCATGTTTCTATTATTACTAAACCTGTTTCTGATAGATTCTTATTAAGAGAGAGAGAGAGAGAGGGAGTTAGTAGTATTATTAGGAGGCAAGAAAAACTCTCCTGTCTTGTGCTAGTTGTGATATCATTCATACAAACTACTACACTTGAGTGTTTGACTAAAACCTCTCACTGCTGATACAAATTACTGTCATCATTTTGACGTAATGTAGGTATCAAGTATCAAAGCAGAGAAGGGGGGGGGGGGTTGGGTGAGCTTGACGGATACTAAACCCCAATATGACAGTGGGTCAAACTGCCAAAAGTCTTTCTTTCTTTCTTTCTTTCCTTCTTTATAGGGGTGGGCAAAAAATCCGCCGATCCGAAAACCCGATGAACCCGATCCGATCCGATCCGAAAAATAGGATATCCGATCCGATTTTTTTTAGCGGGGCAGATGAGGGTCGGGTACCCGAAAAATCGGGTACGGATACGGATCAGAAAAATAAAAACCCGCGGGTACCCGACCCGCAAGGTATATTTTATAAATATTAAAAAAGTAAGGATCATTTTATAATTTTATAATTTTTAATTCTAAGTGCAAGTGAAGTGGCTCGCAGCCTCATATTCTAATCCTATATGATCTACTCTTCTCATTTTTTTGAAGAAAGCGAATATTCTCGGTGAAACATGAACAAAATGAAAAAAAAATTTGTGAAACTCTGTTATAAAAATTGTTCATCCCTTTCATCTTTTTTATTTTTATTCTACCTCCATCGATCTTTCCTGCAAATCTTGCATCAATTCAATCAAAAATTTTTGTTTGGAGTTTCAATTTTCTGTTAGCTAGATAATTAAAATATTTGTGTCATTCATTGCAATTATATCTCTTTAATTTGTCTCTTTTATTTAGTGTAAGAAATTTATTTTTCTTTTTCATCACCTTAATACCATAAGGTCTATTCCAAAGATGTAAAGAAGTTGGGGAAGATTTTTAACATTATTTTGGTTATATTTTTTTCAAAAATAATTAGTTCTATTCAATTCTTTTCCGAACTTGATTTCACAATTGACTTATTTGAGATGCGGTCTTGTACCATAATATCCTTGGGGAAGTTACCAAATACTTATTATCCTTGTGTTTGTTGTGTTGTAGAAGTATGAAATGTGTGAAAATGGTGATGTACTCAAAATTATTATGAAACTTCGTTTTGTCTATTAGATATTCTAATATGTACTAAATTTATGAGATCAATTTGATTATTGGATGAAATGTGTGAGAATGGTAATGTATGGACTTTAATTACAATATCTCTACCAATATTAATTGGAAAAGCATGTTTTTTTATTGAAAAACATGTTGATATTAAGTAGAAAATAAAATTTTTTTATTGAAAAATAGTTTTTTTAGGGGCGGGTACCCTATGACCCGCCCCTTTTTTTCGGGTACCCGCTATTCGGGTACCCGAAAATATTAGGAGCCGGTTAGGGTCGCAAAATGGCTGATCCGATATATTAGGGTCGGGTCAGCCAAATCATGTTAGGGGCGGGTACCCGACCCGTGCCCACCCCTAGTTCTTTATGTTATGGGGACTTCAATTTAATCAGTTTAGGTTAGCTTAAAATGACATTTAGCTATTCTTAATTACTACTAACTACAAACCCCAATGGTTTTTCTTTCTTTCTTTCTTTGATGGCTTAGATGATTTTCACTACTAGTATTATCACATTTGTGCAGCAATTTCGTGCAGTGGTCACTTATTGCCAGCTCAGAAGTGTCAAAATGGGTGGTTTGAACAGATCATAGCTGAGTAATAATGGATATAATTTTATTAATCCATTTGTACAAATTTAATAAATGGGTCAAAATAAACCAACTCATTTATATCCATTTAAAAAATGCGTGTGTGTATGAGTACATCCAATTACAAATCTATGACTCAACCAATGGCCCTTTTTACTGTTGGTCACCACTAAAGATTTTAAGTTTTGGTGGGGTAGGAGGTTAAGAGTTTAAATTTTGCCTCCATCAGCATTGTGCCACTATATGTGGCTTCTTCAAAATGCATACACCGTATAGTGCACTCGTCTGGTTCGATCGTAGTTTAATTTCTGTCATTTTCCAATTAGTTCAGTTGGGCATCCCCTCCTCTAGTATAGGTTAAAATATGAATAGGAGTAGAGTAGATATTACCGTTTAATAAAAAAAAAAAAAATCTATGAGTCAATTGAAATTCTACTTGTTTTTATTATATTTTTTGCATATTGTTTGACATCAAATAACAGTGTATTTTATTATTATTAGACTGATAAGAAATTTAAATATATATATATATATATATTTAACCTACTAAAATTTAGTTTAAATATAAATTTATTTTTATATGAATATAAATGATTGAATCGAATTAATCCACTGCTCACCAAATTGAACTGTGTGGATGCTAACGTTGCCAACCAGCCACCGCTATGCCGTCGAACGATCCTCTCCATGATTGCCTCCAAGGTCATGCTTTTCAAAAAGGGTTGGTCTGGAGGGCGGACCACGCCTTTTCCATTCAGCCAAAAATAATTAAAAAGAAAAGAGTACACCAAACTTTACCTTTCATTTTCCCCACTCTTTTTGTCACGACACAGTTGAGACTCCAAGCAACGAAAGTTTTACATTGTTGAACCAACGCAATTGAGCATACACAAATAGTTTATTGATTAGAATTGAGCCAGACAATTTTAGTGCATTTACAAAAAAAAAAAAAAAAAGTTAGGGTTTGAAACATCAAAATGCGGCTAACTATCTATGGATTTCATCGTCTTAAGTGTATTAGTAATTTAAACACGTCTATGAAATATCTTCAAGTAGTTAATTTTGATTTCGCAGACTCATTTATCCAACGCCTTTTTAGTGATTGAATTCACCAGACTCCCATTTATCAAAACACTTTGCAGTTCACCTAAAACAATAAATTTTGGTGCCTAAGTGTTTATAAAATAAAAATTTCAATTATAGCCAATTACGTAAGACTTGTTAAAATTTTAGGTGAGAAAACCTAATTGGTTCGTTCATATATTAATACTAGGGATAATACATATAC